AGAATGACGGACACAAAGAAATGGTTCAGGTCTGGTAATGGAAATGAGAGTTTTGCTGTGGATGGCTTTTGTTTGAAGGGCTGGGGAGACGGTAAGGGAACTATCATAATTAGACACTTCATAATATTTGTCTGTAATTCAGGAAAGATGTCTGGGAGAGAGAAAGAAGTGGAAGAGAGGGAAAATAGATAGATTGGAGAGACATCATACAGACCAGTCACTGATTCTCGATCATGGGGTGATGCTTGAGAGGTTGTCACATCTTGAAAGACAGGAAGAGCTATAGTTTGAACAAACATATTCGACATCAGAATTTCTATTTAGGAAAAACAATCTTTTCAAAATAAGTTAACTAATAATAAATAAGTTACAGAAATCACAAGGTTTTTATGTTTATAGAAAATTTTAAAAAGTTGAGAAACACTAATTTAGAATGTAGTTAAAGTCATGGAAGGAAATGAAATTGCCTAGGAGAGCATGTGAAATAAGAGAAGTAGTGATGAGCAGAGGTTGATGAAATAGTGAAAGAGAGAGAGAAAAAGCCACGGTGTTAGGAAGAGAACTGGGAACTAATCTTCAAATGTCACAGAATTACAAACAATGGGATCATGCAGACTTCACTAACTGTGGTTTTGGGTAATTTGATCCTAAATATTAATCTGTGAGAAGAGGGTAATAAACACTTCTCAGATGTTGTTAAGATTAAGTGAAACATTTTTGAAAACATAATTAGTATGGTGTCTGGCACAGAGTGAGAACTTAGTAAGTGCTATCTATCATTCTGGCGAACTCTACACCAGCCACTCCATCTTCAAGAGTTCAAAAAGGCTACGACTTGAAAAATAGGCCTTCTATTCTGGTATTTAAGATGTTACTGATTCCTTAATGAGACTTTCAGTAGCTAGCTAAGGTGAGTACTAAGTTAAAAACGATGGGCTTGAAGTGGAGACAGGTTGAGTGTACTCTTGCCGAAAATGTGTTGTGGTAAGGGAATTATAAAGATAGAAAGGGAAGATAGGGTCTTAGAAAGCTTAGGGGATATGAGAAAGATTTAAACATGTTTTTGTTGAAAATAAAAACAGGAAGCCCATTTTATATTCCAGTGAAAGATAAGGTACCTCTCTTACTTACTATAAAGAGGAAGGACTGTAACAGAGTTGCACCCTAGGCTTTTAGACACACCCTTGACTGCACTGTAGGTGATAATGTCAAGCTGTGAATAAGCAGAAAGTCTGTTTTACTGGACAGTGTTGGAAATTTTCTGATCTGTTACCCAAGGACAATTTTTAAAAATTATTACTGGAACTCAAATCTTTTAGTTGCCAACAGAAAAAGGATGTGGTCATATATCTGCGGCCTGTAAACATAGAAACCTCCTTACTGTCATGAATAATCAGAGCTATTGGTAAGAGAATAGGATTATGTTAATGTCTTGAGATGTGCTTCAGGTGAAAGGTATACATTCAAGAAGAAATGAATGGGTACAGCATTACTTATGGTGAGGAGTTGGTTGAAGAATTCTAATAAGCAGAGTTGGAGAATATGAGCAAAAGCATGGTCTAATTAAATGAGTATTTGGCTGTGAATCAAGAGAAAATGACTTTCATTCAGTATGAGATCTATTCCTAGATCTTTTGACCTTGAGCAGATATTAACTTTGCTATGCTACATTTTCATCATCAACTGTAAATTAAGATAATCTCTGCTCAGTCTACCCAACAACTATTTGTGGTTATCATATGAGGCCTAATCTGCTTTTTCAGACTACCATATATATATATATGGAGTCTAAACAAATGGATTTATTCATTTTCCTGTAGTACCACTTTCCTTTTCTCTTGCTCTTCCTTAAGTCTCGCCACTTGGCTAACAGTTGTTCCTCTTTCCTTTTCATAGCAAGCCTAACCTAGATTTAGCCTTTATATCCTGCTCGTTTGGGGCCTTCAATAAGAGTCCAGTTTGATTGCTTTGCCAACTGTTGATCTATTGTCTTCTGAAATGTGTTCCATTGCTATTTTAATTGATTAATTTTCACATTTTGCAGTCTTACTACCCCGGTGAACTGGACAGCCTCAAGTTTTTCTGAGGCTAAGTTCTTAGTTTTTCAGGCTAAGCATATGAAAGGAGAGTGAGTTAATGGCAGTGTCACTGCAGTTCATGTCTCAGGTGAGAGTGAGCTGGGAAACCAAGGAAAATTCAGCATATTAAGTCTTCGAACACAACCTAAGTGAAGAGTCAAAAACAGAGTGTAAGCCAGGCAGAAGGATTCAGAATTTGAGAATGAATCACCCTGAGGCAGTGTTAAGTCAGAGGCTGCTGTGGGACCCATAGGAGCTGTTAAAAATAATGAGTTGGTTCAGAGGTTGTGTTACATTCCAAACTAGATTGTAAATTCCTTTAGGATATTACAGAATACATATTTGACCATGACTATAAAACAATTTACCTACCTATGTCGCTTTTTTCTTTACTTCTATATTGAGTAAGCACCTACAATGTGCCAGGCCCAGTACGACTGATTTACCATAAGACCTCCATATACGTCTCATCATGTAAATTTAAAATTTTTCTAATACTTTTAATAATCCACATACAATAAAGTGCACCCATTTAAAGCAAACAGATTGATGAGTTCTAACAAATATGTGTATCCATGTAATTATCACCTCCATCAAAATAAAGAACTTTTCGGTCACTTCAGAAGGCTATTTCATTCCTTCTTCCAATCTCCCTTCTCCTACCAGTGGTAATCACCCTTCAGACTTTTAATTAATAAATATTTTTTCCTGTATTTCAACTTCATGTAAATGGAATCATGTAATTATATGCTTTGCATCTAAATTATTCTGTCGAACATAATAGTTTTATGATTCATCCATGTTGCTCCAGGTATCGATAGTTCATTCCTTTCTAGTTCTGAGTAGTATTCCATTGTGTGAATAAATAACAGTTTATCCATCTCCTGTTGATGGATATTTGGGTTGTTTCTAATTTTGAGTGGTATGAATAACACTGCTGTGAACAGTTATATGTAGGTCTTTTTGTGGACATATCTTTTTATTTTTCTTGGAATTGATGGATCATATAGTAACATTGAGCATATTTTCATGGCCATTAGTATACCTTTGATAAGTGTTCAGGTCCTTTGTCCATTTTTAAATTGGGCTTTTGTCTCTTTCTTATTGAGTTGTAAGTGTTCTGAAGGATTTTGTATACTAGACTCTTATCAGATAGATTTGCAAAATTTTCACCAATTCTGTGGCTTGTCTTTTCACTTTTTTAATAATGTCCTTTGATTCACAAAAGGTTTAAATTTTGATAAAATCTAATATTATTTATGTTTTTCTTTTGTTTCTTGTACTTTTGGTGTCATATTTAAGAACCTGTTGCCAAATCCAAGATCTTTTAGCTTTACTTCATTTTCTAAGAGTTTTATAGTTTTAGCTTAGGCCTTTGACCCATTTTAAGTTAATTTGTGTACATGGTGTGAGCTAAGGGTCCAACATCATCCTTTTACATGTGGATATTCATTTATCATAGCAGCATCTCTTGGAAAGACTGTTGAAAATCTGTTAACCATAGACCATAGATTTTCAGGACTTTCAATTCTGTTCCATGATCTGTATGTTTATCCTTAGGCTGCTTCTACACTGTTTTGGTTATTATAGCCTTTTAGTAAGTTTTGAAATTGAGAAGTCTGAATCCTCCAAAATTTGTACATCTTTTTCAAGACTGTTTTGGTTATTCAGGGTCTTCTGAAATTTCGTATGAATTTTAGGATCAGCTTGTTGGTTAAAAGCAGTTGGAATTTTGAGAGTGATTGCATTGAATTTGTATAATATGACCATCTTAACAATATTATGGTTTCCTATCCATGAACACAGGATGTTTTCTCACTTATTTATATCTTCCTTAGTTTATTTTGGCAATGTTTTGTAATTTTTATTGTATACAGGTTTGAACTTTGTGGGTCCAATTATACGTGGATTTTATTTAATTAAATATGTACTGCAGTACTACCTGATCTACAGTTATTTGAATCTGTGCAACCTCGGTTACAGGGGATCAGGAGGCCAACTATAAAATTATACTCAGGTGGAATTGTTTTCTTAATTTGATTTTCAGACTGTTAATTGTTGTACAGAATTACAACTGATGATTATATGTTGATCTTATATCCTCTAGCCTTGCTTAATTTGTTTATTAGCTCTGGTAGGTATTCTTGGTGGATTCTTTAGAATTTTCAAGATATTAAAATCATGTCATCTGTGAATAGAGATAGTTTTACTTCTTTTTTTTCAAATGTAGATGTCTTTGTTTTTATTACTTAATTGCCCTACCTAGAACTTCCAGGATGATGTGAGAAAGTAGCCATCTTTGTCTTCTTCCTGAATTTAGGGGAAAGCTTTCAGTCTTTCTCCGTTAAGTATAATGTTATATGTGGGTTTTTCTTACATGCCCTTTACCATGTTGATGAAGTTCCCTTCTTTTCCTACATTGTTGAATGTTTGTATCATGAAAAGGTGTTGGATTTTTATCCGTTTTTACTGTATTAACTGAGTTGATCATGTGTTTTTTTTCCCCATTCATCTGAGTTGAATTCCACTGATTGATTTTCACAGGTTGAACCACCTTTGCATTTGTCTCTTGTGGACAGACTATAGTTTCTTCTTCTTTCTTTCTTTTTTTTTTTTTGATCCAGCCATTTTATTTCTCTGTATTTACTCAAGACTTAAACGTGGATATTCGTAGCTCCTTTATTTGTACTAGCCCCCAGCTTGCAATAATCCAAATTTCCATTAATAGGTGAATGGATAAAGAAACTATAGTATATCTATACAGTGAAATACTACTTAGTAATAGAAAAGAACCAAGTACCAGTACATACAATAATGTGAATGAGTACCAAAAGCATTATAGTAAATGAAAGATGCCAGAAGAAAAGTAATACATACTGTATTCCATTCTTGTGAAATTTTCAAAAATTCAAACTAATGTACAGTGACAGAAGTACATTAGTTGTTTGAGTGCGTGGAGGAGTGCTGGGAAGTAGCAGTAACAAAGGAGCAGGAGGAAACTAATGAGTATGCCAATTATGTTCATTTTGTTTATTAGTGATGGTTTCACAGGTGGTCAAAACTTCTTAAGTTGTAAGCTTTAAATGTATGCAGTTTATTCTATGTCAGTTAATCCTAAATAAAGTTGTGAAGAAAGAAATAAAGAAAATGAAGAAGATGTGATATAGATAGATAGAACAGAATGCTATTCAACTATAAGAAAGAAGAAAATTCTGCCATTATGACAGTGTGGATGAACCTATACGTTATGCCGAGTGAAGTAAGCCAGACAGAAAGACAAATACTGCATAGTATCACTTGTACCTGGACTCGTAAAAAGAAAAAATCAAACTCACAGAAACTGAGTATAGAAAAGTGGTTGTCAGGGGCCAGGGGGTAGGGAAATAGGAAGAGGTTAGTAAAATGATAGAACTTTTCAGCTATGAGATGCATATGGTTTGAGGATATAATGTAAAATATGGTGACTGTAGTTGATAACGCTGTGTTATATAATTGAAATCTGCTGAGAGAGTAGAAATTAAATGTTTTCACCAAAAAAAGGATAAGTATGTGAGGTGATGGATGTGCTGATTAACTAGATAGAAGGTATTTTTTTCACAACGTATATACATCTATCAAATCACCACGGTGTGTATGTTAAATATCTTACAATTTTACATGTTACTTTGACCTCACTAAAACTGGAGTAGAAGAAAGAAAGAAGGAAAGAAAGTCTTTATAGGGATTGGAAAGAAAATTCCTAAAATGTGATGAAGAGTTATTATTTATAAATAAGTAAATAAGTAAATAAATAAATAAATAAATAGTCTAGAGCAAACATCATCCTAATGGGGAATCTTAGAAGAATTTTTTTTAAATTCAAGTATAGAACAATGATACTCATTTCCACCATTCTTCCTCTAATACTGTCTTGAAGATCCTAGCCTGTGCAGTGAGAAAATTAAACTGGAGCATGATGATTAGGAATGGGTGCAATCCAAGTCATTGATTGCAGACAACATTCACTTTTACATAAATAACTCAGAAGAGTTTCAAAGTCAATAATTAGAAATAATAGAGGATTTTTTTAGCAAGGTTGACGGGATATAAGTTTTAATACACAAAATCAGTGGCATGTGCTTACAACAGAGAGAATGTGTAATTAAAAGAAAGACATTGTTTATATTAGTGTTAGAGATTACCAGGTACCTAGAGTTAGATCTGCCACAAATACGCAGTGTCTCTATAGGACAAATTTTAAACCTTTTCAGAACAACATTAAGGAAGACCTGAATAAATGAAGGAATAGATGGTATTCATGGATGGTAATTCTCTCCAGATTTATCTATAGATTCAATTCAATTCCAATCAAAAATCCCAAAGAGGTTTTTCAAGGAACAAGGTAAGATGATCTTTAAACTTTTATGATGGCTCATAGGGCTAAGAGTAACCATGACACTTCTGAAAGAGAAGAACAGGGAGAATGGACTTTTTCTACCAAATATAAGGACTAATTAGGACACAATAATAATACAGTGTGATATGGTTTAAGGATGGATAGTTGACCAATAGAGTAGATAGACTAGAAATAGTTCCACACAGAAATAGAACTTAGTTGTGACCGACTAGTATGTCAGGTGAAAGGAGAAAAGAAAGATTATTTAATAATTGGAGCTGGATAAAGTAGTCATCTATTTTCACGTGAAAAAAGATGACATTGGGTCTCTACTTCACATGCTATTAACAAAACTTCTATATGGATTAAGGACTCAAAATTTGTCGATAGCAAGTTTAGCACTTTTAGGGAGAAAATATAGGTGATATCTTTTGAACTTTTGAATAGGGAAAGATTGTTTAAAGGAACCACAAAATAAGTGTTATCTATAAAGGAAAAGATTGATGAATTTGGCTATATTAAGAATTTTGACCTTTATCTTACACTGAATACAAAATCAACTCAAAATGGATTAAATACTTCAATGGTAAAACCTGAAATTATTAAACTCCTAGAAGAAAATGCTACCTTTTTCCCCACCTTACTGTCATTTGTTGAAGAAACTAAGACAATAGTCCTATAGACCGGAGTGTTACACCTTCTTTTATGTTGTGGCCACATTTACCATGTTACTTTAGTCTCTTGAGTTTCCTATAAGTTTCACAGAAACTAGTTGTTCAAATCCCAGCGATAGTAAGATTGGTCAGTATGTTCAGGTTTAGATTTGTCTGTTTTTAAAGCAGAATATATTTACTGGGATAATATGAAGATTTTTTTGTGAAAATATTTTCATAATTCTAATGATAACATTCATTGAATGCTTTTCATATTCCTCAAAGCACTTAATAGAAATATTTAATAAAATAAGTAAATAATATTTAATAAATATTCATTGATTTATTTTAAAGTCTTTTATATACTCTTTTCCTTTAGGCTTGTTATCCCTTTCCTGTGTGAAAAGATAAGACAATTACTTTCTTTTTTCACTACAGATTTTCAGCTACTGATGTTACAAACAATAAAATATTGGAACATAGAGTTGAGGAAAAGACTTAAACCAGGTAGGTGAATAATAAAAGTCTAAAGAAATAATACAACTACCATTCATTTTTATAAAGGGATAATTGACAGAATTGGAAAATGAACTGCAGAATGTTTATCAACATTAAGTTTCCTCAATTTGATAATTGTATTATGATTTATATAGGAATATTCTGAGGTATTTAGGATGAAGAGTGTGTGATGTACACAACCTACTTTCAAATGGTTCAGGAAAAAAAATGATGTGTAATATGAGAGAGTGTTTGGTGAATTTATGGGCTAATAGGAACTTATATGTTGCCAATGGAAGTATGAATTGGTCCAGTCTTTCTGGAAACCATTTTGGTAATTTGTCTCAAGTTTTTATCTTAGCCCAGCAATATTACTTTTTCTTCTATAGTGGTTGTAGGAACACCACAAAAAGATGTATGTGTAAGGATATTTATATGAGAGTTTATGAAATTAATGAATTAATGAAAAATTGGCAGTAACCTAAATATCTAATAATATAAGGCTGATTAAATAAATATGATTAAAAACCACATAAGCATTAAAAATGATAATGTAAATCTGTATTTATTGACACAATGTCTATAATATATTTTTAAGTATCAGAGCTGGCTGCTAAACAGTATGAATAGTATTAACCTATTTTGTCTTTAAAAAAGATGCATGTACACAGATATGCAAATGTTTGTACATATTTGATTAGTTAGATGTAATTTGCCTGTGTGCATGTATACACATATTACACGTACACATGTTATGTGCTTTTGTGTACATAGACATGGAAAGATGATCCCCATATGTTATTGACTGGTTATTTTTGAATAAGTTTATAGGTATATGTTGCTTTTCTCATTGAAGTTTTCTAAGATAATGCTTCTTATGAAGGTTATGTGTTTTAATTTTATTTTGCAAGTGTTTGATATGCAATAAAAGTAGTGCTATATTTGCTGATATCTCTATACTAGATTAGAGTATCTGAATAGTTCTTTTGAGCCTAAATTCAGATTCTGAGCCTTGTTGGTCAGCTGCTTTCATTCTGTTACTTGACTGGAGTTTGTTTTCTTAATGCTCTATTAACTGTGTTACAAATGTGATGCTGCTCACATAGCTTAGCTGAAGTACATTACAATTTTTGGAAGATCAGAGAACGTGTTTTATTAATGAGTTTTTTAGTGCCTTTTTATATAAAATTCATATATTTATTTTTGAAAGTGGTCAACAACTTGTGCTTTGATAGTAAAACTGATTATTGTTTTTATAGTTTGTTTAACTTTTAGCTGTTAATTTTGAGGATATTTTTCATTAAACTTTTTTTTTACATCTTGCTTTTCTTTAGCAGATTTTTCTTCTATTAGTTAAAAATATGGATCCTGAGGCAGAGGGACCACCAGTTATCAAAGTGACACCTCTTCAACAAGTGCTTGCCTCTTGTACTGGAGCTATACTGACATCGCTGATGGGTAAAGGAATGTTATGATGTAGATTATATAACTGAATTAATCACAGATCCCATTTGAGTTTGCTGTCTGTGAAATAATGATAGTATTATCATTCATGCTGCATCATGATAACATGAAAAGAACTCTTGACAGAGAATCGAGACTAGAACTGTAGTCTTGCTTTGCCATTCTCAGGGTGAATGCACTTTAGGATAGCCCTTACTCTCTCTCTACTTCATTTTTCATCTGTAAAGTTAGGGGCTTAGATCAGGAGTTCTTTGAAGTCCCTATCAATGTTAAATTTTTATGACTTTGTTATTTTTTTTAATAAAAAGTAAGAAGATGGAATAAAATATTAGCATGATGAAAAATACAGAGAATTTGGCCACCTTATAGTAGCAACAAATACAAATTATGTTTTACTTTGTTTTTAGTAACTGAATTGCTTAAATTTCTCTGGACCACATTTTTGTTTTATAATGACTTTCTTAATAGATGCAGCCAAATGACATAGTTAGGTGGCAGTTTAGCATTTTAATGATTATGAGTTGGCTAGTTTATTTAAATAAGATAGCAGATCATTAGAACAAACTAAGCTGATTGCTTTAGAGTATAGTATCTTCCTTCAGGTCAGACCGCTAGGGTTGTTAAGGCCATAGAGATCTTCTAATGTGACCTCCTTCTTCTCAGATGAGGAAATAATAGCATGCAAGTTTAAACCTTTTTCCTTTGCTGTACTGTTCCCAGTGGAGTAACAGAACATGGTAGTAAGGATGATTTATGGTTAGCTTACTCAAATTTGCATCTGTAGTTTTTATTTGATACAGGTGAATTTAACAGATTAGGAAGACTTATGTTGTTTGATTATTGATTAGTTGTAATACAGAGCTATTCTCAGATATTTAAATAGACTTTTGGAACTTTTATTCTTTACGTCAGATAACATTTTCTTATAAATGCTAGTATTTTAGTTTTAATGCTAATAGAATTATAGTTGTAGAAATATTATAAGTGAGAGTTTAGAACTTGTGAGAGAAGTAATTACATTTTCTCATTGGTCCTCTTTAAACAAAATTCATAGGCAAAAAATTAGAATGTTAACACTCAAAACCACTTAAAGATAAATAATCTTACCCATTATATAGTTATGGGGAAAGGTATCATTTGATGTAGTTTGTATTCTTTGGACAAACGTCTGTACAATTTACAGGTATCACTTGTTAATTGAAATTTCTGTATCTTCACAGTGACACCTTTTGATGTTGTTAAAATTCGACTCCAAGCCCAGAACAACCCATTCTCCAAAGGTGTGTATTCTAGTTACCCTGAAAATGTTATGTTAGATTTTTGAATGCCACTGCATTCATTTTTGTTTGAATAATATTCTCTTTTTGTCAATTTTATAAGATTAATACCTTGATCCTCATGCAGAAACTTTTTTGGCTCTTAGTTGTCCATGATGAAGCAGAAAACAAATACGGTTGAGCCTTGAACATCAAGGGGGTTAGCATTGCCCGTCCTCCATGCAGTTGAAAGTCTGCCTATAACTTATAGTTGACCCTTGATGCCCACGGGTCCTCAGTATTCACAGTCCCTCATACTCAGATTCACGCAACTGTAGATCGTGTAGTGCTGTGGTGTTTACTACTGACAAAAATCTGCATATAAGTAGACCCTCACCATTCAAACCTGTATTGTTCAAGGGTCAACTGCCTGTGTGAGCGTGTGTATATGTGGCACATATGTAACACTTTTATGAGTCTACTCATGAAAGCAGAGGACGATTTTATATACGTGTAAGGAACAGGAACAGAATTATACGTGTAAGGAACCTTAGAATCTAGCTTCCTCCTTTAGTCTAAGAGCTGCACCCACCCTAGAATATTCATCCAACAGTCATCCAGTTGTTGCTTAAATAGTGATAGGACATTCATCATTTTATCAATCAGCTTGGTTAGTTGCTGGACCTTGTCATTAAATTATGTCAACTTTGAGGAGAGTAGTTACATTTTTATTAGATGGGCAAAAATAGCAATTCCTTGATCAATATTTTACAGTTTTATAAAGATAATATTATTTTAAACATGTTTAAATAGCAGAAAACAGATTGCTTGGACTATAAGAAAGTTAGCTCTGACATAAATGCCCCTGTTGAATGCATGGCGGTGAGATGGAGAGCACTACAGGCATTATTTCGGATGAGTGAAGGACAGGTGGACTGTAGGAAGAGACTGAAAAGGAAGGTAGTTTCCTGTACATTAAAGTTAGACTAATAGTATTGTGAAACTGACAGAAAATATATGGCCAAATAGAGAAGACAGTTTTGGCAACACGAACAAATACAATAATGGAAAGGAATTGTTATTAGAGAAAGTTGTAGCGAATTAGGAGGGAGCTGACGAATATCTAGACTGAGCAGTATAAATACAGAGAGAGGGACAAAGCATAGCATTATTTTCTACTAGATATAATCGATATATAACATTGTACTAGTTTTAGGTGTACAGTAGAATGGTTTGATAACATGTATCTCTTGAAAAATCATTACCACAATAAATTTAGTCGACATCTGTCACCTCACTAGTTAATAATTTTTTCTTGTAATGAGATCTTTTAAGATCTGCTCTCTTAGTGACTTGCAGATATATATTAGATATCATAATGTATTTTTGTCTGAAGCTCCCTTACATACCACAGAGTTTTCTTCTGGCCAGAGAAGACATACACTTATGTTCTCTTTTCAAAACAGGTTTTCCTCCTTTATCTTCCCTCTCCATTCCTTCACTAACCTAAAAAGAATTTATTTCTGTATGCATTTGCTGACTGCAGTCCAGAAATCCTAACTTACTCAGTTGCTTTTCACCAGTGTGAGTTTAGAGCCCAGTGCTATGTCATTAAGCAAATCAAATTATTTCTGTTTCATCCTAAAAGGTGAAGACAAGGTTATGTGTCTTTTCATGATTTCTTAGTCTGCTCATAGTACTTCCAGTTTGTTCATCTGTAGAAATAATACAGTTGTGTGCAGTAATCATTGACTATTGCAATCTTCTTTGGTAGGAAAATGTTTTCTATATAGTAATGGACTCATGGATCATCTATGTGTCTGTGAAGAGGAAGGCAACAAAGTATGGTATAAGAAGCCAGGACATTTCAAGGGAACATTGGTAAAGAGATTAAATTATTTATCATCACAGTATGTTTTCTATTCTTATATTTACTGTTATGTATGAAAGATTTAATGATTGCAGGAGAGTAAGAAGTCCACCATGTAGTTAGCACATTTATCCACAATTAAAAGATGGACAGTGAAGCAGGAAAGGGGAAGTACTTTATTGCTTTTAACTCTTTGTTAACTTTATTTTCATCTCTTCATGCTTACTTACATAGGAAAAAAAAGGGGGAGTTGATTTTTAAAAAACATTTTATTTTGAGATCATGTGCAGTTTTAAGAAAAATATACAGACAGACCCCATGTACCTTTTCCCAGTTTCCCCTGGTGGTAACATGTGACAAGATAAGTGCAGTCCCACCACCAGGATGTTGACATCTATACAGGGAAGAAGATACGGAGCAGTCCCGTCACCACAAAGATCCTTCCTATTTCCCTTTTCTGGCAACCACTAATCTGTTCTCTATTTATATAATGTCATTTCAGGAATGCTATATAACAATCATATACAACATTTTGGGATTGGCACTTTTCACTTAGCATAATTATCTAAAGATTCATCCAAGTTGTGAATGTATCAGTAGTTTGTTCCTTTTTATTACTCAGTAGTATTCCATGGTACGGATATACCACAGTCTGTCTTCTGGGTGGTTGCCAGTTTTGGGCTCTGAATAAAACTACTGCATACATTCATTCACAGGTTTGTATGTGAAAGTAAGTATAAGAAAAAACTGCTCACTGTTTTTCTCTCCAAACACTCCCCTTACATTTCTGAGCCAGATATGTGGGGTTTTTCTCCCATACCAAGCAATTCTCCAGTGGACACCAACTGGGTATTCTACAATTTAACTCAGTTCTGACACCATCTACCTGGAGTTAGCATCAGGTCCCCCAGGTTAAGGACTCAGTCCCACAAGTCTGCTCCCACTTCAGATACCAATCACAAGTCCCAATTATCACCTGTGTTTCTGATGGACTAGCTATAAATCAGAGGTTCCCATGACCACCTTCTTGGGTTCGATACTTTGCTAGAACAGTTCACAGAACTCAGGAAAACAGTTTACTTGCTAGATTACTAGTGTATCATGAAAGGATACAACTCAGGAACAGCTAGATAGAAGAGACGCATAGGGCAAGACTTTAGGGGAGGGGTGTGGCACTTCCAAGACATCTCCAAGTGTCATTCTTCCAGCACCTCCATGTGTTCACCAGCCTGGAAGCTTCCAAATCCTATACTTTAGAGACTTTTACTGAGGCTGCATTACATAGGCAGGATTGATTAAATCACTGGCCATTGGTGATTAGCTCAGCTTCTACTTAACTCCTCCCTCTCAGAGCCCCTGAGGTTGAGGACAAGGGAAGGGAAGGGGGTGGGACTAAAAGTTCCAACCCTCTAGTCAAGTAGTTGGTTCCCCTTGGCATCCAGCCCCTGTCTTGTGGTTCTCCAGGGCCTTTCCCAAAGTCACCTGATTAACATAAACTGAAGTGTGGTTGAAAGGGCCTTGTTACGAGTACTTTCACCTCTATCCTCTGGAGCTATTTCAGGACTAAGAACAAAAGACCAAAAATTATTAACAAGATATGCTTCCTTTGCTCTTTATCATTAGGAAATTATGAGTTTCAGGAACTGTGTGCGAGGAACCATGGATTAAGGCCAAAACGTATATTTCTTATTATAGATCTTAATATCACTGTAAGTCTTCATTCTCTGGGGTAAATGCCCAGAAATGCAGTTGCTAGGTCATATGGTAGTTGCATGTTTAGGGTGTAAGAAACTGCCAACCTGTTTACTAGACTGATGGTACCATTTTACATTCCTAGTGGGAATGTATGACTAATTTCTCCACATCCTCGCTAGCATTTGGTGTTGTCACTATTTTTATTTTAGCAATTATGATAAATGTATAGTGATATCTCACTGTAGTTTTAATTTGCATATGGCTAGTGATGTTGAATATCTGTTCATATGCTATTAGCCATCAGTATATCCTCTTCAGTGAAATGACCCTTCATATCTTTTGCCAATTTTCTAATTGAACTGTATATATTTTTACTGTTAAGTTTTGAGCACTCCTTATATAATCTAGATACTAGTCCTTTGTTGAATGGGTGGTTGGTAAATATTTTTCCACTCTCTAACTTGTCTTTTTATCTTCTTAAACAGAGTCTTTCATGGAGTAAAATTTTTAATTTTGATGAAGTCCAGTGTATTTTTTCTTTATAGATCATGCTTTTGGTATAAAATCTAAGAACTTTTATTTACCCTTAGATCTGAATATATTCTCCTGTTTTTTAAAGTCCTTGATCCATTTTGAGTCATTCTTATATAATGTATGAGTATGTTTGTTCATTATTTTTGTTGTTCGAACGTGTGCTTGTTCAGTTGCGTTTGTTGAAAAGGCTCTCTTTCCTCCATTAAGATGCTTTTGCATCTTTGTCAAAAATCACTTGGGCATATTGTGTGGATCTATTTCTAGGTTGTTTATTCTGTTCCATTTATCTATTTGTCCATTACCTGTATCAGTACCACACAGTCTTTAATTACTGTAGCTATATAGAAAGTCCTGAAATCAGGTAGACTAGTTTCTCCCACTTTGTTCTTGTTTTTCTTTTTCAATGTTGTTTTAGCTATTTCTGAAGTTCCTTTGTCTTTTCGTATAAATTTTAAAATACCCTTGTGTATATCTACAAAAAATCTTGCTGAGGTTTTTCTAGGAATTATGTTAAACCTGCATATCTATTTGGAAAGAAATAACATCTTTCCTGTGTTGACTGCTCAAATCTGGTTTTTTTTCTTTCTTCCAGATATAACTGACATACAGTACTGTATAAGTCTAAGGTGTATAGCATAATGATTTGACATACATATATCATGAAATGATTATCACAGTAATCATCCATCATCTCACAAATACAAAATTAAAGAAAGAAAAAAATTTTATGCTAATAACTCTAAGGATTTACTCTCTTAACAGCTTTCACATATAACATACAGCAGTAAATTTATCATGTTGTACATTACATCCCTAGTATTTATCTTATAACTAGAGTTTTGGACCTTTGACTACCTTTATGCAGTTTGCCCTCTCTCCACCAACTCTGTTAATCACAAATCTGATCTCTTTTTCTATAAGTTTGTTTGTTTTTGAAGTATAATTGGCCTTCTGTGTTAATTCTTGTTATACAACATAGTGATTTGAAATTTCCATGTGAATTTGTATGCATATCAAAATGATTACCATAATAATTCTAGTTACAGTATGTCACCATATAAAAATATTACACAGTTATTGACTGTATGTGTTCCCCATAAGGTACATTTCATCCCCTAACTCATTTACTTTGTAGTTGGAAGTTTGTACCTCTTAATCTCCCTCATACCTATTTCTTTCCTCACTCCAACCTCCTCTCCTCTGGCAACCACCTGTTTGTTCTCTGTACCTGTAACTCTGTTTCTGTTTAAAATGAAATGTTTATTCATTTGTTCTGTTTTTTAGATTCCACATATTAGTGAAATCATACAGTATTTGTCTTTGTCTGTCTAAATAATTTCACTTAGCATAATGCCCTGTAGGTCCATCCATGTTGTCAGAAATGGCAGGATTTCATTCTTTTTTATGGTTGAGTAATATTCCATCATCTACTGATATACCCATAGATAGATAGGTATCTATATCTCACATCTTCTTTATCCATTCTATTGACGGACACTTAGGTTGCTTTCATATCTTGGTTATTGTAAACAATGCTTCAGTGAACATAGGGTGCCTAATTTGAATTAGTCTTTTTGTTTTCTTTGCATAAATACCGAGGAATGGAATTGCATATGGTACTGGTACGTCTATTTTTAATTTTTCGATGAAGCTTCATATTGTTTTCAGTTTGTGACTGCACCAGTTTACATTCCCACCAACAGTGCACAAGGGTTCCCTTTTCTCCACATCCTTGCCAACACTTGTTATTTGTTGTCTTTTGTATAATAGCCATTTTTACAGGTGTGAGATATCTTTGTGGTTTTGAGTTGCATTTCCCTGATAATTAGTGGTGTGGAGCATCCTTTCATGTACTTGTTGGCCATCTGTATGTCTTCATTGGAAAAATGTCTTTTTAGGTTCTCTGCCTATTTTTTAATTAGGTTGTTTGTTTTCTGGATGTTCAGTTGTATATGTTCTTTGTATATTTTGGATACTCACCCCTTATTGGATATATCATTTGCAAAATGTCTTCTATTTAGTAGACAGGCTTTTGGTTTTGTTTTTTTTCCCCAACTAATTTTCACTTGAGTGAATCAATATAATTGAAATTTCTTGTAGACAGCAATAATTGAATCATGTTATTTAAACTGCTCTGTGGGTTTTTACCTTTTAATTATTGTATTTAGACTATTTATATTTAATGAAGTTACTCATATGTTAGAGTTTAAGCCTTCCATTTCTTTTTTGTTTTTGTTTTCTCTTTGTTCTGTTTTCAATTTCTGTCTTGTTTTCCTGACTTTTTCTGCATTATTTGAACATTTTTTAGAATTCCATTTTGATCTGTATGGTTTTTGTGTATTTATTCCTTTGCTGAAGCTTCCTGATTTTTCATTTGTTTTGGATATGTTTGTAAGTGATCATTTAATTATTTTTATGTTGACTATTTAGAAATCTTTGTTAGATAATTCTAATTTGTCTTCTCTCTGTGTTGGTGTCTACTTATTACGTCTTTTCATTCAGTTTTACATCTTCCTGCTTCTTAAAATGACAAGTGATTTTTAACTGAAACGAGGAAATTTTGAGTTTTGTGTTATGAGACTCTGCATCTCATTTAAACATTCTGTTTTCGCTGGCCTTTTTAATACTGTTAACTCAGAGGAAGAGAGGTGCCACCTTGTTAACTGCAGAGTAGACTGGAAGCCCAGGTTCCTCACTCAGCCTCCACTGGCGCACAGAGTGGGAGGGCCGTCTTCATTGTTGGACAGTATGGTCTGAGTGTTTGTGCCCCTGGGAAATTCATATGTTGAAAGCCTAATGTCCGGTGAAATTATTTTAGGAGGTGGGGCCTTTGGCAGTTGATTAGTAGGTCATGAGGGCAGAGACCTCTTTTCTAAGATGCCCTTGGAGAAGAAACCCCAGGGAGCTCCCTTGCTCCTTCTGCCATGTGAGGGTACAGTGAGAACTCTGAGACCCAGAGTAGAGCCCGCATCTGACCTTGCTGGCATGCTGATCTTGGACTTCCCGCTTCGAGAACTGTGAGAAATCAATCTATTTCTAAGCAACCCAGTCTGTAGTGTTTTGTTACAGCAGCCTTAACAGACTAAGACAGTGGAAGTGGAACTTCTGACTCCCCTTGTGATTCCCACTGACACTGGTGAGGTGGTCTCATTCCTGGTGGGTAATGGTGAAAGCCCTGACTCTCCACTGCTCCTCCTCTGATACTACTGTCAGGACCCTTAGCACATTCGTTATGTTATTTTGAATCCCCAGTCTGATAGTTCCAGAATCTCTACCATATCTGAGTCTCGTTCTGACGCTTGCTTTGTTTCTTCAGACAGTATTTTTTTTCCTTTTAGCATGTTTTGTAATTCTTTTTCTTGAAAGCTGGACGTGTTGTATTGGGTTAAAAACTGAGGTAGATAGACCTTTAATGTGAGCTTTTAAGTTTATCGAGTTAGACCTTAGCCTATATTTACTTCTTGTTACAGCTGTGTTGTCAGAGACTAAAATTTCCCTAGTGTCCTAGTTTTTGTCTTGTCCATTTTCTTTGTGTTTTCCTGGAAACTCTTCAGATAGGATCTGAGGCTTGAGATTCTTTTAGCTGTGATCCTCTGTTGTTTTTTACAGGAGCCCTATTGATGTGATGACTTTTAATTGGAAAATTTAGCCCTCTAATATAATTCTTCATGTGATTTAGTGTCAATCTACCATCTTTGTGTGTTTTTTTTTCCTAATTGCTCCCTTTGTTTTTGTTTTCTTCTTTCGTTTTTTATTTTTTATTTTTTTTGATTATTTGAATTGTAATAATATCACTTTGATTCCTCTATCCCATTTCTAGGGAGAGGGTTCTCCTAAAGTGTTTCATATTTCTGCATATGTTGTGAGCATGGCACTGCCTGCCCTTCGTTCCTGACTGTCTCTTCAAGGGTGTTTGTATAGTGAATGACCTTGGATGATACAGTGTTTCCCTCTAGAGCAAGGGAAACGCATCCTTACTGCCGGTTACAAAGGATTTGGATTCCCTAAGATCAGATTGCCTCTCCTGTAATGCAGTCCACGGTGTCTTCAGGTGTTATCTAGCCATCTTCACATTGCCCTGTGTAAATTGGGGCTCAGGAAACAGGCACCAAAATGCTGACATTCTGGGTACTGCTATTGCTGTCAGTAATAAACCTCTTTATCTCTCACCCCACAGAGTTTGGTCTTTACCAGCTCTCATGATACCATGGCAGGCTGAGCTCCTAACTTGCAAGTAGAGTAAAATCGCAGCCCCCTTACAGTTCTGACACCCTTCACTCCTTCCTCTTCCTAGTACGTCTTTGTACATTACAGATTCCACAGTTCACTATTAGAATTTTTGGTTTAAATGGTCTTATGTCTTTTACAGTAGTTAAAAAGAAAAAGGAGAGGAATATATGTTTTATATGTAATGACATATTTACCATTTCTCCTGTACTTCCTTTTTGAAGATCATAGTTACTATGTGGCATCATGACCCTTTATCCTGAAGAACGTTTTTCAGCTTTTCTTGAGTGAAAGTACTTTGACAGCACATTCTCTCAGTTTTTGTTCTGCAGAAATGTCTTTTTAAAGCATTTTTGATGTGTATTTGGCAGCATATAGAATTCTGGCTTAGTTTCCCTCTCCTCCCCCCAGCATCTTAAATATGTCATTACATTGTCTTTAGGCCTCTCATGGGTCTAATGAGAAGTTAGCCTTCATTTATTGTTCTTTCTCTACATGTATTTTGTTATTTTTCTTTACTGGTTTTTTTTTCAGTGTTTGTTTTTATTCAGTTTGGGATTTCTTGAGATTTGGGACTCTGTAAATTGATATCTTTCACTAATTTGGGAAACTTTTTAGCCATCATTTCATCAGGTAACTTCCTGTTCCATTCTCTCTCCTTTCCTCTATGACTCCAGATAAACTTGTATTATATACCACTTAATACTTACCCTCAGGTCTCTGAGCCTCTGTTCCTTTTTCTTCATTCTTTTTCTCTTCCTTCTTCAGATTTAATAAGTTCTGTCTCCACCTCCAGTAACTCTATGCTGTTTCCATTCTGCTGTTAAGCCCACATAGTGAATTTTTCATTTCAGGTTTAGAATTTTCATTTGGTTCTTTTTTATAGTAACTGTTTCCTTGCTGAATTCCAAATTTATCCATTCATTATTCATATATCATCTTTTAAGTTCTTGAACATGTTTATAATAACTGCTTTCGAGGTCTCATCTGTTGATTGCATCATCTTAATCCTCTGTTGGTTTCTGTTGACTACTTTTTCTTTTGAGTATGGACACTTTTTCTTGTTTCTTTTTATGTCTAATGAATTTTGATTGGATAGTGAACATTATGACAAATGCATTGTAAAGGCTCTGGATTTTTTTTTTCTTTTGAAGGGTCAGTTTTGTTCTAGAAGGCAGTTAAGTTTGGCTGGATTCAAACTTCACCACTCACCTTTGGTGGTCTGTACCTGAAATTCCCACCCAGCCTTTAGCTGCTGGGTGTTTTTGTTTGCTTGTTGTTGCCAGAACTTTGTTGACTCCTCCTGGGGTTGCATAATTTCGTGGTGAGCCATGTTTTGTGGCAGATTTTGTCTGCAAATTTGAGGGCTTATGTCCTCTGTTGCCTTTTCCCCAGGATTTCCCCCCTAACTTTCTGATTAGTCTACCAGCCTGAGCTCTGTGTTTGCCATCTCAAGCAAGTAAATGTGCTTTTCCTTACAACTCCCACTAGGCAAAATGCTGTAAATTAGCAAATCTCACTCATTTTACTTTGTCTTTTAACAGTAAACTTCGCTCTAGCTGGCTTTAAGTTCTTCTCCAGAGATTCAGATATTAGGTTTAAATAATATTTTCTCAGATTTCATAATTGGTCAGGAGAGTTAAAGCTAACCAATTCTCTGCCATTCCTCCACTTCCTTTTTATAATAATCTTTGAAAAACATGCTTCTAAGCCGTAAGTAGGACAGTCCAAAGCTGAGTAATACACCTTTTATTCAGTAAGTAGGAAGTATCATCCAGAAATGCTTTACTTGTGCTTGAAAGTTGAGGGAAATTCCTTTTTTTCTTTTTAAAGAATGGACATACATAAATCTGTGAGAAGCTTATATTCTAGTAATAAATGCTTAAAAGAAACAAATTACCAATAAAATACCACTATAAACTTTTTTGGGTATATATTGTGACCACTTTTCTATTATAATTTTAGGATGCCTTTTTGAAAATCATTCGAAATGAGGGCATTAAATCCTTGTGGAGTGGCCTTCCTCCCACCTTGTAAGTTGAAATTTAATATTTTTCTTACTAAATGGTGGTGGTGGTTTTGTTTTGCCTTATAATCAGCTTGTTTGGACAAAATCTTGCATTTTTAATATTAGAACTTTTTCATTTCCTAGAGCATTGTTTTGTGAATCTCTCAACTACCCACACATTTGATGACTTGCTGGAAGGACTTACAGGACCTAAAGAAGGTTATACTCACGTCTGTGGTTTATTACAGCAGTAGGACACAGAGCAGAATCAGTAGGGGGAAAGGCACAACAGTTGAGCAGGCGTAGGCATCCTGAGATCCAGAGTTCACCCTCACGACATCGCAGAGCATGCGCTTGTTCTCCGAGCACTGAACTGCAGCAGGACGCGCCGTGTCCCCCTTTCAGAGCACTGGAATCTCAGAGTCCAGGGCTTATATTGGGGGTTGATGACGTTGGCACAGTTCTGTGTTCATGACCAGCTGTGATCACCAAAACTCCAAACCCCCAAAAGAAAAGCAGATGTTTACCAAAAATCACATTTGAACAAATCAACCTAGACAAGTTGTTTTAATGCTCCAGACATATAGATAAACCTTATTATAGGGAATATTCCAAGGGCTAAACTCCTTAGAGATGACCAGAGGTCAAGCATGCAAATAGGCCCTCTTGAAGATACAGAAGATTTGAGCAACCAGGCCTGCTGTGTTAAGTCTTTAATGCACGAGCATATTTTTTTTCATGTTCAGAAATTAAGAATTTGATGTCCATTTGACTTTTTATTTTACTAAAATAATTTACTAAAATAAGGTATAATGATATGTATACCTCCCAGATAATTTTAATTCTCTACTAACTAGCTATTATGTATGAATTAATAGAAGCTATTAGGGCTGAATGTAAAAATCCCAAGTAATACCTTGCCTTTCTCTGCCTTGTTTCTTTCTAATTTATCATTTTATGGAGCAAATTAGTCTGCTTTGAGCATATATTCTAAATAGTGCCTAAGGTTAGTGGTGGATCGAAGAGCAGCAGTCAGTCCTATTCCTAAATTCTCATCATAACACTTCACTGTAGAACATTAGTCATTCCCACATGTGGTCTGTCAGTGTCTTTCGGTTAGACCATAAACACAGGCTGGTTTCTTGTTGCATTAGTACTTATGACAAGACAGTACCTGCAACTTTGTGTTTAATTAATAATACCGTCTTGATATTTTCATTTGAAAGAATATGTTATTGGAATTTCCTCAAAACTCTAGTATTATATGATTCTGATGACATTAATTGCAATTTATTTTCACTTATAAACAGGTATGATATATGATCCATACTTCAAAAGTATTTTACAATTGTGCTTGTACTTTATACTTCACGTTATGGTAAATGTAGTTGGGAAGGAAGATCTGGGAGACCAGAAACAGACAGAGTAAGTCAAGGAGATTGAGAAGTGTCTTTATTTGTCTTTTCCTATTTATGACCTGACCAGGTGCTCTGTAACTTGTCTTCTCAACTAGAATGTAAACCTCTGGAGAGCAGAAACCTATTTTATATCTTTTTGAATGCCTACCAAGTTAAACACTGACAATTTTTAAAATAAAAGAAAAATTGATTTCTTGGCTGATTTGCTATGGTTTTCAGCTTATATAAAATAGGAGGAGTTTAGCTTATATTTAATAATAATTTAAGAATACATTTAAGCCCTTTGATAATTTTTTCTAAATCTTTTTGTTTCTGTTTCTAACAGAGTGATGGCTGTTCCTGCCACAGTTATTTATTTTACCTGCTATGATCAATTAACAGCTCTTCTGAGATCTAAATTAGGAGAAAATGAAAGCTGCATACCAATTGTTGCTGGAATTATGGCCAGATGTGAGTAATAAGTTAACTATATTTCCACTTTGATTTGTTTAAAGCTTCTTTTTAAATCTTGACATTCATAAAGAATTTATTTAAAATATAGAGTATTGGTGAAGATATATTTTGCACTGTACTTTGTACTAATTTGTTAATACTCTAGAAGTCATATCATATGATGATTGCCATCAGAATGAGATGGTATCAGCCTATGCCTGTCAAATCTTGGACAGAGATTTTAAATTTGAGGTAGTAGATTTCATATTCTAGATTTTAGGATGACATCCAATTAATGTCAAATTGATGCCAAAGTCTTTAATAATTTTCCTTAGAGACTTTGAGATGCAGAGTTGAATCAGCAGCAGATTTGCCTCTGTACAATAAGACATTCTTCTTTGTGCAGTGGAAGTGAGGTTTGTAGTAGTCCTAGTTGGTGTATAATATTCCGGGAACTGCTTCTGAAAGAGTTAAAACCTAAAAGAGCAGAGTATGTGAAATAATTTTATTAAGGAAAAAAAATCTATGCCAATATGTTGGCATCATTAGATTCTTGATTTTAAGATTTGCAGACATTTCAGAATAAAAGTTTAAAATATAAAATGCATGAAATACTCATTTTTGCATGTGTGTTTTCATCATACATGACTTTGTTTTTGTTTTCTTATATTTGCTTGTTTGTATAGTTGGTGCAGTAACTGTAATAAGTCCTCTAGAATTGATTAGAACCAAGATGCAGTCTAAGAAGTTTTCTTCTGAGGAACTGCATCAATTTGTCAGGAAGAAAGTTTCTGAAGACGGTTGGACTTCCCTCTGGAGGGGCTGGGCTCCTACTGTTCTTAGAGATGTCCCATTCTCAGGTAGGATTTATCTTATTAATATCTGCTTATATATCACTTTTAAATCAGCTAAATATTAAACCCTTTAAAGCTATCGGTAAGTTATCTTCTTTAATGACCACACATTCCTAGTTTAGTGTTGGGCTCTCAGATATTGTTAAGTCTTTATTGATTGAATAGTTTCTAATTCAAGCCCAGTTTTCTGTTTAATTTCTTTTTAAACATTAATTGGTGTGTATTCATATTTAGATAATTCAAACTACCTTTAAAATTATTCTAAATAGGTTATAATTAGTAAAATAACTAACGTACTACAAATCAAGATATTATATGTTTAAGACCACCTGTGAATTATATTGACTCCTACTTTTTTCAATTAAAGATAAAAATCTCCTCCATTAAATGAGTGTCCTGTACATAGAAAACAAACTTGTGGTTACCAAAGGAAAAACGGGTAGGAGAATGATAAATTAGGAGTTTGGGGTTAACAGATAACATAATAGATTAAAAACAAGGACCTACTATATAGCACAGGGAACTATATTCACTATCTTGTAATAGCCTATAATGGAAAAGAATATTTTAAAGTATATATATTAATATATATTTAAAATTATTTTAATATTTAATATAAATATATTTAAAGGTATATATAAATGTATATAATCCATATATATATAAAAACTGAGTCATTTTGCTGTACACCTGAAACTGACACAACATAGTAAATCAACTATACTTCAATTAAAAAAAATGAGTGACCTATAAAGCACTATAAATCAAATAGGAAATTGTGCTAATCACTGAATTATGAAAAGGGAGAAAATCATGAAAAAGAAATGCAAAACTAACAAATAACTTGTATAACGTGCATACTTCTATAGTATTTCTCTTGTAAATCTCAGAATTTTCCATTTAAAACCTGGAAGAAATAATTATTAAGAACCTTTGTATTCCTCTTTCTTTTTCCCTTTGAGTTATTCCTTTTCTTGGACTCTCATTCACATCTCTTATATCTTTTCCTTCCCATTAGTATTTTTCTTTAACCTTTTGTGTTCAGTTATGCTGTTAGAAACATCATGGATTCCTAAACTAATTCTTTTTTAAAAAATTATACTTATATATTTGATACCTAAAAAGTAACATAGATGTAAATTATGAAGTGAACTAATAAAATGAACATCTGTGAAGTTACCACTTCAATATATGAATTACAGTATTGCAGTTTTTTTTAAAGTCATGAAACCCCGTATATCCATCTCCATTGTCACATCCCCAGTGGTGATCACTACTTAATTTTTATCATTTATGAGTCTAAGCAGAAAGCAAGGTGTGAAGGCTAGAATCTATCCTCCTTTAATATATAACCTCAGATATTTTCTTTAAAGTTTATATTTCATTCCTAAATATGTGTTCATTTTATTCTCTGTTTTTATAGCAATGTACTGGTATAACTATGAAGTTTTAAAGAAATGGTTGTGTGCAAAATCTGGTTTACATGAACCAACATTTATGATCAACTTTACTTCAGGGGCACTATCTGGTTCTGTAAGTTTATTCTTTTGTCATTAATATTCCAGAATAATGATAGTTGTCTTACTAAAAAAGAACAGAATATTATGAAGCATTTCATATCTACTGATACTGCACTTTGGGGCTGCACTGCTTTAAAAATTTTCTAATTACTTAATGTCCTATTTTGACAATAAATTATTAGTCATTAAAGTAATTTAAGATGCTTTTATATCTGTTTATTACATTACAAATATATTTTTATGAAAAACTTTTTGATTTGTTAGATCATTACAGTTATGATAATAATGAGTTTTAAAATAGTGCTTTATTATTTACAATGTATTTGGCAGTTTGGTCATTAAATGCCAGTAGATCTGGTTAGGTAATATTTCATAGAATGTCATCACATATGTATATTCAGATTAATAGAAGTAATTTCATCCTCTACTGCTAATTCCTGTTTCTTTGTGAACATTTTGACTGAGTACTTCTTAAAATAATTTAAATAAAAATTATAATCAGAAGGGAGGAATTTCAAATGACCATCTTTGGGTAGTAGAGAGTTCACCGTTTCCCAACCTTCCACATATGAAAAGTCATGTAGTGGACTTCCTTGTGCAAATTCATATCATCATGATCTTGGCTACAAAGAGTTCTTATACCCACATACCTACAAAATGAATTTGTGATGATATAGTTGAGGAGCTGACATTGGAACCAAATGAAACAAGAATGAAGGAGCATAGTGAAGAAAAATATTGGAGTAACTACATCAGAAAACCTAGGCTAAAGAAGCCACTGTAATTGAGTTCAAAACTCATATGTGAATGTTCCCTGGTCTGAGATCTGTCAGGTTAAGTTTAGTGGGGTATAACCTATTGAGGCAAAAGAGCAGTTCTTTTTAGCAATGTAAGTCGTTACAATACCAGCAAAATCTTTTCATTATCTCTTACTTGTGAGGTGATTTAAAATAACTTAATTGTATTTCACTTATATCTTAATCCAGCATGGATGAAGAAAGACAAGTACTACTTGTATTTAGAGATTCGTAACAGTTAGAAGTAGAGAATCAATTCTGTACTTCGTGCTTAATGTCTAAAAAAAAAGTGATCAGTGGCTACCGGATGTTATACCAGCTTTCTAGTAATATGAATGAACATTCTCTATTTTACTACTTCTGTCTAACATAGAAAGTTTATTGAAATGTTTTTAATGTTCTAGAAAATATTGCTGCCTTTTGACTGTTTTCAAATAAAAAATTGTCTTTGCCACAGAAAAAGCACATCAGTGGGAATGTCCAGGTTTTCTATCAGAAAACAGAGTAGCTTAAACCATATCATTTTAGGTGTCAGGCTTATACAGCATTGTTGCCACCTTTCATACTACTGTCAGACCCGTCAATCTGCGGGTTCTCCATCTGCAGATTCAACCAATTTTTTCCCTGGTTGTTGAATTCATGGATATGGAACCTGCAGATAAGGAGGGCCGACTACTATACTGTGCCTTTTTATATAAGGGGCTTAAGCATCTGTGAATGTCGGTATCTGTAGGGGTCCTGGAACCAATACCCCCTAGGTATTAAGGGACAACTGTACGTGTTAGATTGTGGAGATGGGGAAATGATCATTGATTCTATCTTACCTGAGATCTTTGAAACTGATTTCATTTCAAGAATTTAAGTCAACATAGTCAGAAATAAAATAATAAGGGGTATTTTATGAGCATATTGGCCAAATGTGAGTTGGGAAGCAAAAAATAGAGACCAGGTTTTACTTTGCATGACTCATATCAAATATTAAGAGACATTCTGAAGGGAATTTATTCTTTCAAGAAACCTTCCTTGCTTAATTAGGGAATTATGTAAATAACTGTTAAATTGATTCATTTTGAGATAAGTTTTCAAAAATGTGATTTGTCAGCTATTATAACTACCTTTAATAAATATGTTGAAACCCATAAAGAAAAGGTATATAGAACTGAAAGTGCAAAGTCCATTTTATTTAAATTTAATTTTTTAATTCTTATTTTTGAACCATTTGTTGGAACAATTTAAATGCTTACTAGATACTTGAGAATTTCTGCTTTAAAATATGTATTATACCTTCATATGTCATAAAGGAATGATAGACTATACAGGAGCTTCAGAAATTGTGAATACTGGTTTTGAAGTCAGAGGTTTGGATGGAATTCTGAGTCTTACCACCAGTAGTTGTGTGACCTCAGGAAAACAGGAGAACGTTTCTGAGACTATTCACTTCCTCCTGAATTTGCAAAGGACTACTACATAAGACATACCTGTTTTCTTTAAAAAAAAAGCTGCTCTTAAAATACATTTTCAATTTCACTTTAGTTATGGTTTTTATTACTGTACTTAAGTAATGTGGTAATTAGAACAATATAAAAATATTTTAGGAAAAAATTTTAAATGGATTTAATCAATTTAACTTTTTTATTAGTTTGCAGCTGTTGTAACTTTGCCATTTGATGTGGTAAAAACACAAAAGCAGACACAACTCTGGATATATGAAAGTCGTAAAAGTAAGTTTAACTAATTTAAAACATTTTTAAGATGCCATGAAAATTTTTGTTTTTCTTTCCAGATAACTAAGTTAGGAATATGTAAAATAGGTAAAACAAGATTTTTTTCCTTTATTGCCTTACTCTTTACTTTACTCTAATGAATATGCTTTTAGAATGGAATACTCAGAAAAAAACACTCTAAACCTAAGCCAAAAATTTAAGAATCTTAAAGTCTACATATTTTGCCTGGCATCAGTTAAGTCTCATACCTGCTGTATAGAAGATAAAATTATGTAAGTATTCTTTCAGATAAATCTAGGCAAATTAGGGTGAAGGACAGGAAATTACTGGGAGACCTTTCTCACTTGGTGTGTTTTGTTTCATTAGTATGCATATACATTTTCTTCTTTTTTTTTCTGTTTATTTTTTTAGCTTCCCTTCTTTTTTTCTGCCTATTATCCCATCTAGTTTTAATTCGGTATAACCCGTAATTTCTTCTAGAACGAAAGTGTACTCCTAGTTGCTCCTACTAGATCCTCTCTGTCTTTATTATCATAGAAAGGGTAGTAAACCCATTGGAAGTGGGGCTTCAATTGTACCTGAAAAATACAGTTGTTAGGATTTGAAAAACTTGGATGGTTAGTGAGTGAGTGTTTATTTTATTGTTGTCTATGCCTGAAATATTTAATCCAAGCAATGTTTTCTTACAGTGTATGAAGTTGCTTATCACCTGTAGGAATAGCTCTTTGATGCTGCATCTTTAGTCAGGCTCGAGGTTCTTAAAGCTCTGCCATTGCTCACCTCCAGTTGATAATGCTTTCTGTTCATTGTCTTTTACATTAATTTCACCCTGCTATTAAAATAGAGACCAGTATATGGCTTGAGCTCTAGAAGATTAGAAATACCCAGCTACTGGGCCTCCTTTATTTCACCAGTTATTTTCTAAATTTAAATGAAATAATTTAAACATGAAGTATAAGTTACCAAATGATGGTATAAAGTTTTTGTCATTGACTTTCTTTAGAAAGTTAAATTTCACTCATAAATACTTTGGTCTTGGTTTTAAAATGTGTCTTTTCTGTTGGGTTGCTGTAATTGTTATATTCATACTTACACTATTTATATTGATAGTATAGCTTCTTAAATAAATCACAAGGCCTCATGGAACTTTATAGTAGTCAGAGAGTCTGGTATTTTATACAAAAGAAATCTGAGATGATGAGGTTCTCTCCATTAAGTAGCAAATTCTAAAAAGCTACTTAGAATTTTTTTTATTTAAAAATTTTTTTGTTTTGTTTTTTGGGGGGTGGGAATTTGTTAGGTTTATTTATTTATTTTTAAAGGAGGTACTGGAGATTGAACTCAGGACCCATGCACTTTATCACTTGAGCTATACCCTCTCCCCCTAAAAAAAGCCACTTTTGAAAGACATCTTTCTCTAATCTTTCCCTTTTTTCCTAGTTATGCTTAATAATACATACGCTAATCTTTCTTAATGACTCAAGAGTTACCATCATTGTACACATTCACTACTGGAGAGTTTCATGAATGCAGCTCTCAGAAGCTAGTGAGAATAACACAGGAGTGTTTGCCCATTACGCACTGGTCTCAAACCCAGACTCTGAAATCTTCAGCATGTCAGCTGTCACAGTTTTCACATGGCATTATGCCTGCTTCTTAGCAGACTTTTTTTTTCTCTTATTGCATCTAGTAGACTATAGACTAAGCCAGCTGCTTAGAATCATTGTGTAAAAGAAGGTAAGCGAACTCTGTGTACGAACAGCTCATCCATGATCTTTATGTTTGAACTTCAGTGACGTCCACTTTTGCTATTTGTAAATATATATATGTTAGTTTCTTATTTTCGGATATATTTCAGATAGCTGAGTAGTTGCAAATAATTGAGATGTTACTATTAAAGGATAAATCTGCCCTTTGGAGGAGAAAGGACTTACCTATTTCAAGATTGGCACATCTATTCATAAAGGTTTTGATAAACCAGGACCTCACTAGGGAGAATGAGCTATTTTCCTCAGAAGCTCTTTTTGGAAAAAGAATTTTTTTAAATGTGTGCAATGAAAATTTAATGAAAAATGGTTATCAGGGCTTTACTTTGGCTTTGGGAACCCCATGAAGATTCCTACACATCTTTTAAAATTTTCATTATGAAAGATTTTTAAGATGTGGAGAAAAGTATAAAGGATAGACACCACTATGCTTAAGAAACAAACTATCAATTCAGGAGAAGCCTTTTGTATGTCCCTCCTTGATTGAATCTGGACCTGTGTACCTTTAAACATACAGCTTTTTCTAATTTTTCTTTCTAATGACTCCAACTATTAAAAATAAGATTTAAAAACAGCTCTTTATGTAAAGAGATCTTTTCTTATTATAATGAAATGATATACCCCCAAAGGCCATAAACACTATTTTATGTGTATTATCTGGGTTAGAAATTAAGTGGTGATTTATAAGTGTTCCTTTATTTTGGCATTTAGTTTCTATGCCTTTGCAAATGTCAACCTGGACTATAATGAAGAACATTGTTGCTAAGAATGGATTTTCTGGATTATTTACAGGTAAAAATATTGCCTTTATCAAACGGTTGACTAAAATGTTTACTTTTATTTTAAATCTACCACCTGTCTAAATTACCTTTCAGCAGGAAACTACTGAAAACATTCCACATTTACTATTTCTTCTTAAATATCCCTGCTATAAGTTTAAAAATGTAACATAACAATAGATTTACTATTCATAAGATACTTCTATATAAAGTAACATGAAATTAAAGTGAGGAGGTGGGGAGTGAGTAGTTTGGCTTGTTCTTTGACTCCAGTTTATGGGACAGTATTTGATCACTTAATTTGATAACTATTAGAATGAAACCAAATAAATTACATTTTTAAAAATAAGGTAAAATTTGTTCTGATTTTGTTTCTATTCTCTTTTCAGGCCTAATTCCTCGTTTAATTAAAATTGCTCCTGCTTGTGCTATTATGATCAGTACATATGAATTTGGAAAGGCTTTTTTCCAGAAACAAAATGCTCGGAGACAGCAATACTAGTGATGTTGTTTCAACCTGAAGTAAAACTATGACCAAATTATAAGATGGAGACTCTTAGGCAAGAGCTTTTTCACCATTATCTTACAGTGATTTTATATCTTTATCTGTAATTTAAATGAATAGTAAATTTCTACTTTGACTTTAAATCATAATCCTAATTTTAAAATAAATTTTGTTATCCTAATTTCTGAGCTATTGAAAAAGATATTCCAGAATCACAACCACTGAGCATTCTTGTAAAAATAAAACTTATTCCTTAGCACTGAAGCAGTAATCTCTAAGAATTTGATATAGATTCTGGTGTAACTTAATCCTATTGGGAGTGTGTCAGATACATGAGAACATTTTGAATTATGTGCTGAATGACGTAGTCTAGAAGAAAAATTCCCAAGTCTTTTACACAATTTAAATCACAGACATAGATATTTAAGTGTTTCAGCAAAGTAGATAATGGAAGGCTGTCTGTTAATAACATTATTCACATTTACCAGATATTACCATTTTATTTAATTCAAATGCATTTGGGTTTTTGGTCTTTTTTAAAAACCCTGTTGCTGCTTTAAGGCCTCATGTGTATTAGGATTTCTCCGATTAAAGGTATGGCTATTTTATCTTCATGAACCAAAATATAATTTGCATAATATCAGTGCTGCTATTTTTGGTGACTAAAGACTCTGAATTATCTACTGTTCCTGTGTGAGAGAGGGAGGCTTTACTGATTGTAGTAAATGTTCATTTCACTCAAACTTGGGTGTGCAGTGGAAAACCACACTGTATTTACACTAGTAAAAATGATGTTTCAGCACAGGAAAGGCCTCTGGCTTCACCATCTTGTAATTCAAGTATCACTGTTTGCAGAGTTCTCTAGGCGAGTTTATTGGCTTGTTCTAACAAAATTGAAATTATTAATACAGTATCAAACACAAAATATTTCCAAAATGTCCCCTGATTTTACACATCTCACATTAGTATGCTGGACCAAGAAATAAACAGGCAGCAGTTTCCTTGAATAAAGTGTTTTCAGTCACTGGAGGCTCATGCCTAAGTGATTTAGTTTATGAATGTAGAAATGAAATGACAAGGATATGATGGCAAGACAAGAAACAATATCCTTTTTTAATATTTTTTTTGATCTTCTCAGGATCTGTATCCTATCAGAAGAAGCACTTTATTGCAGTCTGGTGTATTTTATGAAATGTGAAGCATTTCTCCCTAAAATAGAGTATTATGTTTAAGTGACAAATCTTTAGTGTTGATAGAGGAATTAATATATTTTCTATTGTAGTAGAAAACTGTTCATATGTTTCACCACAGATAAACTATTTACAGTTTGTATTTAACCTTCTGTGTTCATTTTATCCTGTGTTAATTTACCTCAACTAAATAATTTAACTTAAATAATTTGCAACATATATATTCATAAAATGTAAATATTTATAACTTTGCCATATTTTCATTAAAATATTTCATGCTTTCTTAAAATCATCACTGTGCTACTAGTTAAATATTTTCATATAAAATTACTGTGTTAATGCTATATTATACACACATATATACATATTACACATGCACAAAAGTTGACCTTGAACACTGCTGTTTAACAATATTAAGTTTAAATTTACCTTGGTTCTCCTATGCTTCTTTTTGATAACTGGTAGAAAAAGGCAGAAAAATTCAGATTTTGAATACTGCTCTCAAAAAACAGTCACATATTTCAACTTAAATGTCACTTATACATACCTGATGGGGAATTTTCATCTTTCCCCCACCCCAATACTGACTGCAGTTGTCGAAAATTCTTCCTTTATGACTGGAATAACTTAAATAGAATTCCCTACATTTTTTCTAACATGAATCACACACAGTGTAATCTGGATGAAAACAAGGTTGAACTGAAGCTTCCTCTATACTTAAGTGATAAAGAAGCATTAATAGTGGCAACTGAAAAAGCCTTGCCTACAAATTGTGTTCTTGGTAATACTTCTGAAAGGGAAAGTTTTTCATTCTGTTAATGTTAAATTTTCGAACATACACATTTAATTTCTTATGTGTAAGTTTTTTAAGAAAAAATGTCTTATTCAAGTATTACATATTTGTTACTTTTCATATAATACCCATTTGACTTTTTTAAAAAGTAATACAGAATTTAATTTTTTCTTCTATTTCTAGGGAAATTATTCATTATGTTTACTTAACCACATTTGACTCTAAATTCTTCCCTCTTTTTTGCTGGGGCACAAATTCCAGGGATGTGGGAAAGTATAGTGTATCACCTGCATTTTTTTCCAAAATGAACTTTTAAAATGAATGACTACTCTTATGTTTTAATCTATCACTCAGCACTTACTGAGACCTTTTATGTGGTAGGCCGTATAAAAAACACTGGAGATAAGACATTTCAGATGCTGGCACTGGCCTCGAGGATTCAGCTGTGATTGTTTAGAAGTATGCAAAAGGAGTAATGGAAAAGCTGAAGAGTTCTCCCCTCAGCCTGGGGGTAGAGACGGATTGGTCAGAAAATACTTCTAAGGTTAAGACATACCTGAATTATGATCCAATTAAACATACCTGAAGGTTGAGCGTCTCGATCAGTGCCCGTGGCCTGAACAAAGAGTTTGAGTATGAGGTCAGAGAGCAGACTGGAAATGGTCCAAGAGGCCTTGCGTGCCAAAGGGGGAACAAGAAGGCAAGAGAAACCAAGGATGTATTTTGGCACAGCTGTAAACGTTAAAGGGTTGTGTTGTGGTGTTTGTTTCCTCCCCCAAGATCAGTTATTTTGGTGGTTCTGTGTTTTGTGTGTGTGTGTGTTTTTCACTGAAAGAAAATATGATAGCATAGTTTAGCACAGCATAGAAAAGAAAACATCAGAATGTGTTACGTATTAAGGCCAAGTGTTGTGTAGTGAAACTGGTTTTAGCTGTGTTTCAGAGTTGGGTTTTAGAAAAAATAACTGCCAGTATGGAAAATGGGACTTACGATAATAAGTGACCTATTTGAAAACAATGAAAAGTTTTGGTTTGGACTGAAATATATTTTTAAAAGGTACCACAGTGACAGTTACATAGTTTTATCTTCCCCTTCCAGTCAGTGAAAAAGAACAAATGCTAAAGCTAAATATAAGTAGCTGCTTTGCTTACAGAAGAGCAAAGTGGACTAATTAAAAAAAATTAGAACTCTGATGTTCAAAGCAGTCATGTGACATTTCAGAGGCAATCCAATGTATTAGTTTATCAAAACTGGAAATTTTAACCCCTGATAGGAAACTTAACAAAGAATTTCCATAAGTGGTAAATCTGAGACACATTTTTTAATCACTTGAAAACTTGTATATAAATCTAATAAAGATGACTTAAATAAAAACAAGCTTAGTGTACTTGCGTTTTTTAAGGTTTCTGTCCATCTTAATTAGCAGTAGCTTGCATTTGGTATTTACTGCTTAAGAATTTATACATATAATTTTATTTAACGCTGACATCATCCTGATGCCATCACATAGGTGCTGAGAAGATGGTGATGCTTCCATTTCACCAGTGAGAAACCAAACATGGTTGTTATGTAAGTAAATCAGAATATTGCCACTTCCACAGATGATGCTGATCCTAAAGCATATCATGTCATTAAAAAAATAAGTATTTAATTTGATATGAGTTGAAATGAGGGTCTCTAAAACCATATTCATATGAATAGTTCAGGTGTTGAGTAATACACATTTACAACATTTCCTGAAACAAAAGTTCAGTATACAACTTGAATCAAGTTAACTTTTTGTCAAGGGAAAAATAAAGACTACTACTGCATGGTACAAAATGTTTAATACACATGCAACAAGTATAATACATCAAGGCAACAAAATACACATGGAAATATTAGCAGATAATTCAGCATTCTACTTAGGGGAGGATATGTGAACAGTGAACACTAACTACCACCTAAAATTAAAGATTGAGACATACCTCATGCAACATTAACAAACTGCTTCTATAACTAGTGTGAAATGAGCTGTGTAGAAACCTAAATTCACATTAGCATATGAATTTTATACCAAGAGCTCCAAGAAAGGAGGAAGAGTCATGTTTAAATCTGCATCTAGCAGCATGGTTAAGATGCACAAGTTACTGTATACAATAGACAAATCAAAATTTTTATCAGTTGTGGAATCTTGTATTTACTTTCTATATTATAAAAATGTATGGAAAAAATTTAACAATGATTTCATTTAATTACTGAAGGATTATAAATGTCATCTGAGAGTGGACCATGAATGAAAGCATTTAAACATTCTAAGAGTTAGGAAAGCAGCGATAGTGATTAAGGCCAGCCTAAAATTTTTGAAGTTCCTTTCCTTAGCCATTTTTCATTCCCTTGTCCAAATGTCTCCATTGTCCTCATTTAAACTTTCCTTCCATTCCCCATGCTGATTAAAGATGGCTTTAGATACCTCACTCACAATAAGATACACAGAATTAGCATAAAGGTACCATTTCTCAAGAACATTGCATTACTACAGGTATTAAGGCCTTAAGCTAAAGGAATAAAGCTCTGAATATGTTCTGGTACAACTAAGATAATTTAAGTGCTTCCAGGCCTCCTTTGTCCCTGAAATGACATTGTTACTATTTATTATCTTAAATTCCAACTCATAAGAGTAAAGATCTAAATATTACAGAGAACCACCACACTCCCACATTTCTAGTACAAAGAATGATTGTGATAAGTTAAGTGCTTCCTGTCGCCTCTCAATACAATATTTTAGGAGGAATGTTATTCCTATATGTCAAAGTTACTAAGTTTGAATGTAATGTTTTATTAACAAATAAAAATAGCATATGAAGTCCCCAATAAGTATTGTAGTAGCCTCTTCATGTAAACAATGTATAAAACGTCTTTGGCACAACTGATCATGTTTTCCCCATATTACTTACTGTAGAAAATATACTTCATACATTTTCTCTTTCAATATGGTGGAATTTTTAGGGACAAAATGTATAGTTGTTCCAAAATTTGCAAAAATTTAAAAGACAGCTCATAGTTTTTTTTAAAAAAAAAGAAAACTGATCTTCTTTACCAGTAGAAGTGCAATAATTTTTAACATTAACATCAACCTTAAAGTGAGATTATGGCCTGATTAATGAGAGAAGCTGTAAAGCATCTATGACACAATTCACTGTTGCACCCACGGGAGAACAAACAGCTCTGGATGTCAGACAGATTGTTAAGTACAGTGATTAGCCTACTGATCCTTATTTAAAAGCTTCTCAAATCCTTAAATGAACTTCAAGTCTTTCCAGATAAAATATTTTTCAACATCTGTTACACATTTTTAAATGATTCCAACTTATTAGGCATAAATGTGATCAATTTTTAATTGATAACCTTTTAAGAAAATCTGAGAAAACAAAGACAAGAAACATTCATTTTACCTAAATGGCCTAAAACACTGTAAAATACGTTCCCTGTGACCCTAACAAATTCAGTAACTGCCTACAGGCACATCCTACAAAATTTATAAAACGTTAAGTAGAATGTTAAGTTAATGCCAAATGATAACTGTTAAAGAAAAACTAAATAAACCACCATGAAGCTGCACCTGAGACCCTTTCTCCTCACATTAGAGTCAAGGCTTTTTTAAAACATCAGAACCTAGGAAGAAATTCATGAAAGGTGAAGTAAGTCATTTTTAGAAAATTTAATCATTGAATAAAGAGCAAAAGAAAATACTTAGCTCCAGAGTCTCTAGAATATAACCTTGAACTCAAGTCTCTGGCAATTAGGATACATTTAAACATGAAAATCAGCTGAATAATAAATATGTACAATTTGCAATGAATTATCAGAGAATGTCTGAAAGCTTTTTAAAAGCCTATTCATTTTTAAACTTCCTCAGTGACAAATATAAGAATTTTAAAATGAAAAATGGCAGGATCATTTTTTTTTCACTCAAGTTCACATGGAGTTGACTGAATTATCTAATATAAGCAGTAGAATTCTAGACATGTGCCAGAACAATATAAAATCCCAAAGATTTTCCCAGCAGTCAAACTTACGTAAATAGAACATTTGCAACATAAAAACTCTTGGCTTTTACATAAAACTTTTCAGGATGGAGTTAGGCCTGGACTTGTCACCTCTGTTGTAGGACTTGCAAGGTAGTCATTAGATTTTAGGCTTGTTAGAGATTTGTAACTTGCCACTGATGTTAGAGACCCACAAAGACCAAGCAATGAGGGAGTATCTTCTTTACCTGAAAATTAGGATAAAATAACAAATATTTAATTGCCCTTGAAGCATGATACCAGTAAGATCCTAAAATCATTAAAAACATACTTTGCAAAATACTGCAAACAAATATAACTATAAAAATCAAACAGTTGTATGTCAGCATGTTTGATCTTTCAGAGTTTCAATGTCACCCTTAAAAAAATATTACAGAGGATTATTTGTGTTCCTCATAAAAGTTCTAGATATGGAAGTCTGAAATATATTTTGGAGCAAAAATTAAAATTTACTTTTTTTGGAGAATATGTTTATATCCAACTAATAAGGATAATAAAAAATTAAGTAACAGTACTAGTGCCCAGGCCACAGAACCAAGAAATCCATACATAGGAAAAGGAATGCAGCAGAAGCAGAGCTGCTTTAAGTCCATTGAAGGGTGTGATCTGGGGAGCCTTTATCCACTTATTGAATGACATTTATTCAGCATCTACTGTGCATCAGGAATATTGTTATGTGCCGGACTTGAGTAGGCCTGGGACAGAGGAATGGCAGAACTGTTTTCACAGCTGGGAAAAACAAGTTCTTTCCAGAGCTGAAAAAGTTTCAATACACAGTGTGCAGACTAAGTGGCTGATTGGAGGCTGTGAAAGGCTAATTAGGTCTCAGCAGTTTTCCAAAGATGGAAAGCTTAGGTTTTAGTCACGTGGTTATAGAAGTGTGAAGCTGAACCAGGTATCAGATGTTTCTGAATATTATATGTTATTTCAAACAGCCCCTCTGAAACGTTCTCACAGCCACTGTACTTAATCCACCTTGTCATACTGTATCGTAATTGTGGGGCTCTCTCCTTTGTTAAACTATACACTACTTGAGAAAGGGCGTGGAATTCGTTGTGTTCTTTATTATATTCCCAGTGCTGGCACACAGTAGATGTTCATTAAATAATTATACAATTAATGAATGATGCTTCAGTAAGAACTGCACTGGGACACAAGAGAGCTCCTGTGTCCCTTACAGCTGTGTGACCTGGGGAAAGGTATCTTCTCTGAGCCTATTCTTTACTTTGTAAAATGAGAACAGATACCAAAAGATGACTATGTTAACTTCATGGTTTTGCCTACTAATAAAATACACGAAAATATGATGTTAGGAAAAAATATGGAAGGGCAATTGTTACATTCAGATTCAAAATGTTTATCATCTTATGTCAGGATCAAAAGATACAGATGTTTCAAGAACCCATTTAATGTTTAAGCTTGGAAACCTATTTCAGGCCAAAATGAGGTCTAGAGTTCTTGCTAGATGCTCCAGGAACTCAACTGCTTTGGATAGTCTCTCCCAAATTTCTAATTCATCATTGACCTCTAATGTTTTAAAGAGATTTACTGCTAATTACATATAAAAATATGTTTATAACCACTTTCTTTACTGTGGTAAATATGTATGTCATATACAATTTACCATTTTAACCATTCTAAGTGTACAAGTCAGTAGCATTAATTACATTCACAGTATTGTGCAACCATCACCACTATTTCCAAAAATTTTCCTCATCCCAGTAAAAACTTTACCTAGTTAAGCAGTAAGTCTCCATTCCCCTCTTCCCCCTAGTCTCTGGAAACCTCTAATTTACTTTCTGATTTCATCCTAGATTCATTCTTACAAGTGGAATCATACAATATCTGCCCTTTTGTGTCTGGCTTATTTTACTTAGCATGATGTCTTTTAAGGTTCATCCATGTTGTAGTGTGTATCAGAATTTCACTACTTTTCTATGGCTGAGTAATATTCCATTGTAACTACATTTTGTTTCTCCATTCATCTGTATGGACATTTGGGTTGTTTTCACCTTTTGGCTATTGGAAGTAATGCTGCTGTGAGCACTGGCATAACAAGTATCTGTTTGAGTCCTATTTTCAATTCTCTGGGGAATGTATACTTAGATTACCCATATTTTTAAAATATAAACATTATCACATAGTAATTGCAAAAGACTAAACAACCTAAATGTCTAACATAGTTACACAATAGAGCACTATGCAGCTGTAAAAGAGAATGAGGTAGATCTCTCTGTACTGCTGTGTAGTGATTTCCAAGATACGCTAAAAGTAGAAAAAGCAAATTGCAAAATTGGGTATATAGTATGTTACTTTTTATCTAAAAATAAGGAGAACAGGAAATTATCTGAATTTCATATGTTTTAAAGATCAATAGAAAAGATAATGCAAAAACTAATAAAAGATGGTTACTTACGAAAGTATACGTGAACAGAGTTGAGATGAGCTTTAAGCATAGTAATAATATACTGTTAGTTTGAAATTAATATAGAAGTAGACATGAGCAGAGTTGAGATGAGCTTTAAGCACAGTAATAATATAGATACTGTTAGTCTGAAATTAATATATATAGTAGGAAAAAGCAAATAAGTAATTATGTTCCTATAAATTAGGAACCAATATTTTCAACATAAGATATAAAAAATACAAAATCAAGTACAAGGAAACCTTGAATCTTGTGTTTGAATTATAAATTAAAATAAATTTAAGATATATTTTTGTTTAAAAATATTCCTAACTGTCCACTGAGGAGGGCTAGAAACAATGACCAATCCAGTAGTAGTAGGTACCCCAAAAGCCTAGATTATGTTCTCTGATATCATTTTCTGGTATAAGGAAACAAGACTTCATGGAGAAATAGCTGATTCTGGGTGTAGGCATGAAATATACCAAAGTAACCCAGAATATCTAGTTTTACACAAAGCAAGGAAGCTGTGACAGACTACTGGAATGTCAAAAGGACATAGGAGCCATCTTTTTAAGAGTCTCTCAATGTCCAAAAAGGACAGTGACCTCCTGGGGAGATACACTGAAAGAGATCCATTATTTATGTTGTATTCTTGCCAAATATGTTTAACCTGAGTATGATAATAATGAACAATCAGACAAGTCTAAATTTTTGGACATTTAACAAAACAGTTTGGGCAGTTAAAATATAGAAATGTCAAGTGAGAGAAAAAGAGAGGTCAGGGATGGCGGTGCTCTGCTAGATGGAAGGACACCAAAGATACTGAAAACTAAATGCATTGTGCAACCCTTGACTGGACCCTGGACCTTAAAAAAGAAAAAGCTTTTTAAGGATATTACTGGACAGAGACATCAGAATATTCAATAATTATCAGGTAATACTGTACTAATGTTAAATAATCTGGTGGCTTTGTAAGAAAACATCCTCATCCCCAGGAAATACATGCTGATGTATTTAGGGATGAAGTGTACGATATCTGCAATGTACTTTCAAATGGCTGAGCAAAACAGAAGACATGGATATATGAGTAAACGGAGGAGCACATGCCCACAAGAGCAAGATAAGTGTGGTGAAACGGTAATGACTGGTGGGTGAATCTAGGTGTTCTAAGCATATACAGGTGCTCATTCTCCTGTTCTTTCACTTTTTATAGGTCTGAAATTACCCACAACAAAAAGTTGGAGTGGGAGAAGAAGGCCAGGTACCTAAAGTCCTCAGCTGTGCCCTAAGGAAACAAACCATACAGCAGAGCCCAGCAGCACAGCCAGGAAAGCAGGGGTGATCTATAGATCCCAGCCTTCAAACACCTACGTCTAGTCTCTGAAAATACTGATGATGTGGAACACACAGGGCATTGTGGCCCCCTCAAGGAAGCCAAAAGGGGCTTCATTCCAACGCTTTATTTAAAAATAAAAATTTTTCCTAAAGGTGCACAAGGATCCAAAATGATTATGTCCATTATGACTGCAGCTTTGCAACTAGACATATAAAAGGAAATAAACAAAACTGTGTTAAGGTAGAGGATGGTAGGTGATTATTCCAAAATAGTCTTGAATGTTCATGCAGTGTCAACAGTAGCTAACCTTTACACATATGCATATACCTAAACATTTTAAATTATTACAATGGATTAAAAATAATTATGTTAAAATCTGAGCTAAAAATGATATTTTAAAAGCAATTTATTGATATGGGGGGAAAGAACTTAAGGTTAATGAAAATTTCTAGCCCAGATGACTGGGGGAGTGGTAGTTCCTACCAGAGACTAGTCAGTCATCAGGAGCAGAAAATGGGTTTTTGTTTTATAGCAAGAAAAATCAGTTTTGTTTTCAATGTACTGATATAGAGTCTGGACTATACAAATCTTCAGATGGTACTGATACAAATGTTATTAAGTCATTCATGCAGCAACATTTACTGTGTCAGGCATTGTGACAAAAACCACTTCTTGCCCATAGGGACTTAGTATATGGTGGAAAGAGACACAGAAAGAAAATTAAAATAAAATGTAGTAAGTGTAGTAAGAATAATAAGTAAAGGGTATTATGCAGACTCGAAGGACAAGTGTCCAATCAGAAGGTATGGGTTGGGGAACAATTAGAGAAGTTTCAGGACAAAAGTGACCATTGAACTGAACCCTAGTGGACATACATGCCCAAGGAGCAGAAACCAGAAAAGGAAGGCTCTGAGACGGACAGCATGAACAAAGCACAGAGGGAGGAATGAGTACCCAAGGTACAGGGAACTACAAGCAAGAAATGAAACTAGAGGAATGGGCAGAGGTCACTGAAGACCTCAGAGTTCACGTTAAGAAGCCTGGAAATTATCTTGAGTAATCATAATAACACATCTGTGTTAGGACTAAAATCAAGTCTTCTGAATTCAGAGACTACGTTCTTAATCATATTCTTACATAGCAATGAGTCACTGTAGGCTTTAACATAAGGGAATTACATATTTAGTTTGTATTTTAAACACTTGACGGCTCTGTGAAGAATGGTTTTGAGTGAAATAAAATGTTTATAGGGAAATCAGTAAGACAGCTATAGCAGCTACTTGAAACAGGTTAGCAGTGGAAAAGACACAGCATGGAACACGTATAAAAATCTTTAGAAACTTAAAACTGGTAGGACTTGAAGGCAAAAATGTCAGGTGGGAGAAGCCACGACTGAATAGTTTTTGAGAACTGATAAGTCAATGGTGAGATCGTCAACACTGTAA